TTCACCCACTACTCCACCATTGGACACTATTTTCCTGTCTCTCAACATGGATCCACCTAATAAAAAGAACTATTGGTTTTTTTATAAAGTGACTATCTTTCTTTGAGTGATTTATTCATATAGATTTTCTAGAAGATAACTCCAGGTAAATACTTGTTTTTGTTCTTGTTTCTCTTTTAGATATGGGTTATTCGGACACTATGCGTAATTGTATTAATTGTCTTTTTATAATTCGGCCATATTTCTTCAAAGTTCAGTTGTTATTTTTATATATATTAAATTTTTCATTTTTTATACCCAACCGTAACAGGGCAAATATAATAAGCTTATTTTATGAGTTTCATATGCTTGCAGACTAAGCGCAGTAAATGAAAATTATTAATGTTCTTAATTTTCTTGGTTTTTCTCTTTTCTTTTTATCCTTTTTGTCTTTACTGTGTTATATATATATATGTACATGTACGATTCTGAAGTTATGACCTGAGAGGTGTGTGGCGTGTGGAAGTAGTACAGCACGTAATGTAGCATAGTGAGTGAAATAATTTTAATACTTCTGCTGTGCACTATTATGAAATGTCTTGAACTTATATTTACAGTGGTTTGTGTAGTTTAGTGAATGTCGGACTGATTTTATATAATTACGAAATTTAAATGGATAAAAAGCTTTGCAAATATTGCTGGCATTTTTTATAAACAGGTATAATTTAAACAACAGTACTTCCGTGGACAACAACTAAACAGTAAAAAAGTTTAGCTAACAGTAAAAAGGTTTAGCTAAGTTTAGAATTAAAAGTTTAGCTAATGTGAAGATTAGCTGAAGGGTTGAAGATTTAGTTTATTCAAATACAGTTCTGTTGGACTTTGGACTTGGTTGCCATTAAAATATTTGTAATGTACAAGATAATTCTGAAAGGTAACCAAACTGGTTCCTAAAGGTAGATAGTTTAAAATTTGTGCGAATAAGGCTGTGATGGCGCAGTTGTTAAAGCATTGAGATGCCAGTCTGAAGCTCTATCCCCGATGGCAAATTGAAGCCAATACGCCTCCTGATTGACTGAGAAATAAAGGTGTCCGGAGCGCGAAAATGAACATATTACCCCCCTCATTGCGTTGATCATGGTCCCCTATAAATTTGCATTAAGATACGCAGAGTTTATTGACTCTTGCTTCTGCCAACATATACAATCTCTTCGTTTTTCAGCTTGGATCTCACTCTTTCAGTGTGCTGCCCGTTTTAAACACTGTGCCTTCCTGGCTTACAATTATCTATTGCGCTTGAGATTTACTGATTATAGTATTTGATTACCATACCGAAATGACTATCTGCCTCTCGTACTCGTTTATTTGAGGAGTGTTTACATTTTTACAGTTACAAATCAGCACAACGAAAACCTTTATTTTTTTTTCAAATGAAATATTTTTTTTAAAACCTAAATTCAATAAAATAAATATTTTTCTACTATAAACACTTATTCGCACGCATCTCTTAATTTTTAAAGAGAAACTAAAATCCGTTTCCAGACACTGAAAAGTTCAAACAACCACAGCGTTAAAAAGCTTCTTAGTATTCTTCACCTCAGCAAATATTTTCAAACTCCTTGTTTCCGGACAAAATCATTCTAGGCAATCTTATCCATTGTGTGTTCTATTGGTCCCTGACTCTATAAAACTGCGTTTGAACGTGACATGTTGTGAATAAATATAAATAAGGGATGGGGCGCAAAAGGGCGCCACAGTCGCACAGGCAGATTCGAATCATCGTGAAGTGAAAGGACATTCCTCGTTGCACACTTCAGCCCCCAACACATAGAATCGAAAGAAGCTTCCAAAAGTTTTAAAAAGGTGCTCTCTACTTTCTCTATTGATTTGACTTGTGGATTATTAGACGTCCGATACCTTAAATGGAATAAGGTAAATAGATTTAAACTTTTTTGCATTATTTTAATTTTTTTTAATGTCTCGTCGTATTTTATTCATTGCCATTTATGTACTTTATAATTTTGTAAGTTTTTATTGTGATTCTGAAAATATTGCTTTTTGCCATTGCTCATTTTTATGATTTAAATGTTATCAATTTTGATCCAAGCAATTATGATTTTAATTTATTCATATTTCCTAAGTAAAAATATTTTTACATGTGGAAAATTCAAACTAAATTATAATGTTTTATGTTTTTGAATTTCTAAATAAGGTTTTCTTAAGATATTATTACTCTTTTTAAAGTGTATGTAATATTTTTAATCATCACTTATTGACATGTATTTTAGAATGGTATATGGTTAGAGAAATTAATCATTTTATACGTTTTTCAAATCTTCTTTCTTTGTTTTAAATTTTAAGAACTAATTGTTTTTGTGTTGTAATTAATAATTTTACGTTAAATAAAACTATTTAATTTAGATGGATCGAATTTAATTGAACTTTATGAAGCTTAAACTTGATGGTTATGTTTTTGTGATTTCAAAAATATGTAATTTTTTCCCTTGTCCAATAATAAGGTTTAGGTTTTAACACATAAGGCTTCTTAAAGTCCTCATTACTCTTATTAAAATGTGTTGAATGTGTTGAGTTTTATAATATGTATTTTAGACGAGAAACTGACCATTTTACAAGCTAATGTTTCTTTGCTTAAAATTTTAAAGATTAAATGCATTTTTATGTTTTAATTAATAATTTGATATTAATGAAAATGAGCTAAATTAAATTAAATCGAATTTAACTGAAACTTTTAATCATCCGATTCTGAAGTTTTATGATGTATTCTTTATGAGAAACTAACAATTTTACATGTTTCTCAAACTAATCTTTCTTTGTTTTAAATTTTAAAGATTAAATGCCTTTTTGTGTTTTAATTAGCGATTCGATATTAATCAAAACGAGTTCATTCAAGTTATATTGAATTAAACTGAAATTTTCGGGGCAAAAATTTGACGATTATTCTTTTTACTCTCCTGTGCGGTAAATTTGACATAATTCGATTTTCGACAAATTTTGATGTAAGTTTTCCCTTTTTTACTAACAATGAATTCTGTTTATTTATTTATTTATTTTTTCAACAATACGCTTTGCATCCCCAAGTGCTCCAATGGTTTATTTATAAATCATTTGCAGATCTGGATCTTGGAGAATTCGTTACTATTAATACAATTAATAAATCAGTACAGATAGTACTGAGATCTTAATGTTATTGTTAGAAATTTCTTAGAAAAAATGGTTAAATAAAATTTATTTGTTTTTCATCAAATTCAAGCGAAACAGTCAAGTAACTATAATTAAAAGGTAATTAAACTGTTAACTGAGAAAAACCGTTTTTTACTTAGTTTTGTTTAATACAGTTAAACAACCAGAATTTTATCGCACCAACTAAACCCACTTAATGAAGCTGCTTATTTACATGAAACTACGTCCAGCCGAAAGGGCTAATTTGTCAGTCTCATAAACAACAGAACTGGGGTCCGTTGACACCACAATATTTTCTCCATTCCCTTCAACACCTGACGAGTTTCTAGTGTTCCGCGTTTCCCAATAAGTCTCCCGCACCCACTAATACACATTACCTAACGAAAATTCCTCAAATTACCTTAATTACCTTAAAAAATTTCTTTCTGTTTTGAAACCCTGCTATATGTAAATAGATAAAAAATCGTATGGTTTTGTATTCATGGTTTTATAACCATACTAGTTGTAAACGGTTTCAAAACCGTAAAGATTAAAATGTTCATTGTCTTAAACTTTACTGTTAATTGGATGGACAGGCTGCTGCGGATTACGTTACCGTAATTTCAGAATAAAAATTCCAGCAGGGCAGGATATATAGCAATTTTTATTTTTTAAGAACATTAAAATTTGCTCATGACAGAAGTTTTTTTAAAATTTAATTTAAACTGATAAATATCGAAATGAAAACAATTTTTTTGATAAAAAGAATATTACGATTGGATGAAAATTATTAAAGGTAAAAAAAAACAATAAAAATGATTTCTAATTATTGGTTTAGCAGTTTTTTTCTTCTTAATTTTTATACTCTTATACCATAAAACCAACCAAATAAAATTTTATATTAAGAAGTTAGAGAAATTCGAGTTCTCTAACTTTGTAATACGAAATTATGTTTAAATAATTTTTATTCTTAAGTTTTAGTGAAATTGATGAAATATGATAAAAATCATTATTCTCTCTTTTAAAATAAAAAATATGTTCAAATGAAAATATACCTAAATCAATCAATGCAAGTAATTTTAAAATTAAAATTTTTTTTAAGAAAAACTCTTTTAATTAGCAGCATTTTTTTACTCAAAAAATTTCAAGCTCATACGTCAAGAAGCTCATTTTTTTATTATTTAATAAAGGACTAAATGTTAACCTCAAAGAGAAAAAAAATTGTATTTCATTTCTGTTTTTTATGCTTGCTAGTGGCATTTTATCTGTAAAGAAAAAAATAGCTACGGTTAGAGAAGCGATAAGCATTAATGGTCAGGCGTTGCTAACATTCATCAATGATCAACAAAAATACAATATACTCTCGATTATCTAAATTCGGATTATCTGGTTGGTGTAGAAATTAAAACAATAAATATTAATAAACAATACTTTTACTCTAACTTACTTAATCAGGTAATTTACTATTTTGACTTAAATTACTTTATTTGATTCTAAAATAAATACAAAATTGATTATAATTTAAAGGCGAACGTTTTAAACATGTCACGTCATGTTGAAATGGCAACAGAACTAAGTCACCGACGTGATAGCAGAACCTAACTATTTTAGAGACAGCAGTGTGGTAACTATACAAAAATGTTTGTAAGTCAAAGTTACAAAATCGTTCGCACAAAAATAAAGTAAAACCGCTCACGCTATGATGGTATTAAATCGTTTGTCCAATAGTGTAAAATGCTATAGCAGAATTGCGCATTAGCATTATACTTAAGTTATTTTCTTATCAAAAGAAAAGAATTGTTTGCTTCAAAAGTATTTAGGTTCGCAAAAGAGTTTCAAAGTAAGGAGTTCATTCCCAAAACCCACCATTACACTGTCAAAAAAAGAATCCATGTTGAAATAAAGACAAAGTTTGGCAGCAGAGATTACAGATAAAGTCAGTAAAGAAAAGGTAAAACTTAAATTACGACTCATTCGTAATCTTAGATTGGTGAAACAATAGCATCAGCTTATATATATATTCATATANTATATTTTAGCAGTAGCCTTTTTAAATTCTCAAATTTCGGATTTAAATCATGCAAGCTAACCTCAATTACAAATAAAATTAATATCATCCTGAGACTAACAGTTACCAGTTGTAACTGAGAGACGGTAAGTAAGCATCACCGCGTAAATATTTGACTGTGTTTTAACATGCATAATTAATATTTTTTTACTTGGAATTTGATGCATTTTTGGCTATTAAATATAATAAATCAAAATTAAATCTTTTAGGAGTTGATCGATAATTTTTGAAAGGAAAATTTTTAAATAACGAAAGTTCACTTGGAACATTTAATTCTAAAAGAAAAAAAAAATCTGATTTCTAGGTTTAAAAATGCTTAAATCGCTTTTGTTTTACAGTATTACGGAAACAAATGATTCTTAAGGGGACACTCCAAGAATCCTCAATGGGATCCTTGGACGTTCAGAAGGACAAAACTCCTTAAAAAATTATTTTTTGGTTTTTAAGGAAGTAAAAAATTTACATTTTAATATTGCCCACATTTCAATTCGGTAAAATTCTCATTTTACCGACTTATAAGATTATGAATATATTAAAAATCTATACATCAATGTCTAGTTCTCGCTGACAAATTTGCTTTTTCTCGTAATGGAATTTTTCAATGCTTTGGCAACTTCAGGAAGTTCCTTGTGCACCAATTCTTATAAAAAAAACTTTCAAGTACTCATCGATGTGTCTTGTTTAATTTCAAATGCATTTGAATAATTTAGTACCCTAATTTAATATTTTAATAATTGAGTAAAGATAATTGTGAAGTGTTTTTATCGAAGAAATTTTCAGCGTCAAAATAAAAATTTAATTCTTAGGTAAGTTATATTTTTATACGTTTAAGATAACTACTTAAATTTATTTAAATACCTATAAAAAGGAATTTTTGGTAAAAAATCAGTTCAAAAAAATTAAATTAATTGGCAAGGAACGTTTTAATTATCAACAGTAAACGACAACTATGTACACAGACTTCTATTAATGCTACCAATATTCTGTTAAAATTTGCAATAATTAAATAAACATTGCCCTTTTTGTTTCCAACGTCCAGTGTCCCCTTAATGGATCAATGGGGTTCAATTGTTTTACATCCGTAATGGCGTAGCTATCATGATGTCACTGAACTTAGTATTTTAATTAAGATCATTTTTTAGCAATGTTATGGTTAGAGCATTTAGTTCTGATTATATATAATTAAGTTAGTTTATGACTTACATCCTTCATCTTGGCTTCAACAAATATTTGTCGATTGTTGAAGCATACTACCATAGTGTGATACAAGCATGTTTTGTAAGCAGCCGCCTGATGTTTCAATACTGATTTTCAAAAACTCACTAATATACAATTTAAGACGTTCTTCTTTTTGGTTTGACAATAATAACTAAAAATGAATATTTATATACATTAATAATTAAGAGCCTAGGAAGAGCCTCATCTTAAGGCATTTCTCATGAAGCATTCGTAACAAATATGAAAACCGTAACTCTGTTAGGCGGAAACTGTCAATATTTCAGAGATTTTAAAGGACTAATGCAATCACTGCAATCATTTCTGTGACGTGCAATCAATGTGGAATTTTAAGGAGGACTTATGAAAATTATTTCTATTTTCTGCCTTTGGTTCTAATCAATTTTATTGCTATAGTAAAAGAGAAGAAAAAGACATTTATATTTTTATAGATGATCTAATTAAGATT